TTATATAATGCTTCCATAACATTTGAGAAGAAAATCACAGCCAATACTCCAGTGTTTTTTTTTTCCTTGGTAGTGATTGAATAAGCTGTAAAACATCAAATTTACAACAACAAAATGAACACGTGTGTACAACATTGGAAATCGTATGACACAGCAGTGCAAGTCAATTAAACAACATAGATGTTTTCATAGTAGGTTGGAAAGTTGACCTGGTTCAATCAAGAAACTACCTGAAGCTGTTTGAGTCAATGTAGTATAAGAGGTGGGGAAATTATAACCCTTATGTTTGTGGAAGTACATCTTTAAAATGCCCTTTCTTGGAATAAAAATGTAGATCTGTACTGAAAAGGAAATTAATAGGCAGTTTTGCTTCATTTTCTCTCATTTGAACCTAAAATAAGTTTCTTGATTAATGGCTATTTTAATAAATGCATATGGCACTTGATAATTTGACAGGTAGTTCAGACAGTTAGTTGACAGAAATCATAGGGGTCCTCCAATAGTCAGTTGATGATGTCTGTGCTATGAATAAACCAATACTTATGTAAGAAGTACTCATTTTTCATGGAAAAATTTGTATGAAACCTACTCCTCAGATTATTGTGCATTGTGTTTCTATCAGTGTTGCCACAGAAACTTTATCATAGCCCCATTTTCCTTTTTTGTGTCAAAAAAAGTACATTTCTGCATATTCTTTTTACATTTGAAATAACACACACCTGAAATAATTATTTTTTTCTTTTTTTCATAAATATTTAGGCTGGAATGTAGAAGACGGAGATCCAGATGGACTTCAACCAGAAGTGCTCATCTCTCTCACAGCCCCTAAAAAATGTGCCAAACATTTCAAAGGCAAGCATCATTACCTTGGTGGCAGGTTTGTTCCCAATGCCTTGGCCCAGAAGTATGAATTAAATCTTCCACCATATCCTGGCACGGATTGCATCTTACAGTTGAAGATGGATAAACTGGATAAGCCACAGGAGGATGGAAAAGACTAAAGTGGCCATGTTTAACACACAGATTTATATTCTGTCATGAATAGGGTAAATGTTAGAACTTTCATTTTGAAAAAAAAAAAGGGAAAAACAGACCTATAATTTTAGAGTCTAGTGTATGCATTTATATTGTAAAACAGAATATACAAAGTATATCTGTAAAGTATACGGCAAGCTGAAAAGGCAGGTCTTGCACTATAAGCCAAAGCCTTCACCAGTTCTTTGACCTTTAGCTAAATCAACACATTTACGAAACAATTAAGGATTCACAATCGTTAAATCTACAAAAGATACAGCTTCTCTGTATTCATTGGAAAAGATCAATTGGGCTTTACAGTTCAGCATGAACATTGCTTTTTCCAGTGTAATTTTTTCAAGCACATTCATCACAACAACCTTCTGTCAGTACCTCCAAGTCTCAGAATTCTGATATTCACTCTCCTTAATTTAGCATAGGCATCTGCCACTATTTTAGTATAGAAATGGCAAGCCACAATGCTGTAGAGAAGGTTATCTAATGATTCTGAATCTCGGGGTGCCTGACAGTGTATAATCTCATTTGTCATGATTTTAACTACCATTGTGAGAATCTACACAGTTTTCAAAATCCATTTATTTTCATGCAAGCTTATTGAATATCAATGATATATCAAGTAAAGAAATGGCATGTTATAAATAATAAGAAAATTTAGACATTGTTTATCAGATGTTTATTTGTTAGTAAAATTGGTGTGAAACAGGCTGGTAAATCAAAGAAGGTGACCGAGCTTATAGCATAACATGGGCTGTAAACATCATACATAAAGTATCTATATTGTAAACATACATTCATTTTACAACTGGTATGTATTGTATAATCGCTGTTCTATAAAATGTTGTTTCTGTGTCTCTCAGTCTTTACAGTCAGGATATATTTAAAATCATGTAAAGGCATTAAATAACTATGGCACTGGAGAACGTATAGACACTAATAAGTGAAGATAATAAAGGGTCATCAGGATGTATATCAGGCTGTCATAATTGCCTCCCCATGTGAAATATCAGCGTGCAGCCTTATGGCTAACTGTGAATGTATTTAATTAGCTTGATGAATGCCAGCTCGGTTCCCAGTTTACATATACCAAGGCAGTGTGTTACTGTGTGTACATGGCTAGGTGTGTGGTTCTTGTTTATAGAAACTGTGTATATTTTTCTTCTGTTATACTGTCAACTATCTGGATGTTGGCAAACCATTTTTAGCAAAGAAATTTAGTTGTGATGAAGAATTCTTGAACTGGTTTCCACTAGAAATTTGTACAGTTCTGGAATAATGTACCTGATTTAAGTAGTAACTTGAGAAATTATCTGATGTTTTTTTCTTAAAACAATTCAAAATAGCCATGTAGGTTAATATTCATGACAAAAATGTCGGAATGTCTCTAATTTAAATAAAATGTGTTATGGGAAACCATATTTTTGTTTTCATGTATGTACGTGCAAATTTAATCCATGCCCATGTTTTTCCATGGAACATACATTTAAATGTCCTTAAAATGCAAATTTTAATGTTATTGAAAATTAATGCTAGAAGTGAACAAAATTTACTGCTCTTAAAAACTTAACATTGAGAAATTGTCTTATATCATGTGGCTTAAAAAAAGTTGCTAATTTCAAAGTTCAAGAACTACAAGTTTGAAGATACTGCACCGAAATTTGGGATATTTTTAATGAATGTTGAAGATTTCATGACTCTACCTTTATTACTTTTGGCACAGCAAAAAAATGTAAAGTAAAAAAATGTGATGCCAGCCAGTGACTTTAGTCAGGTACCGATGTGGCAGTTTTGACACCTGTAATGTTTTTGATTTGATAATAATATCAAAACTGTAATATTTGAAATTTTCAGGGAATAATGTATCAAAGATCTGTGCAAAACTTAAATTTGAAAACCTTTGAACAGTTGAAGTAATTGAACTTTGAAATTAATAACGTTTTTTATGAGCCTTCCAATATGTGAAGCTGGTATGTATTAACAGCAATTGGCAGTTTTCAGGAGTTTTTTGCCAACAGCAATTTGATTTGAAGACTACTAATCTTTGCCTCTTTGATTCAAAGACTGTCAATCTATACCTCGACATTTTACATTAAGTAATTGCTTGGTTTTATGTAAATTTACTAGTTATTTTTTTGATGAAATGGAAAGATCATGTACTTTCATTTATAAGAAGGATGACTACCTATACTGATCCATTTTGCTAATTAATATTTTTATGTGCAGAGATCAAGATCAATATTTTACAATTGCTAAATGTTTGCCATACTATTGAAAACAACTAGAGGGGACATTTTATGATGCCGTGTCATAAACGGAACCAGGAAAAAATGTGATTATTTTAACATTATAAGCACACCAAAACATGGGTATGCCTTCAGTTAAATATCATTTTTGACAACAATTTCAATGACAAATGAATGTTCAAANTTAAAGTAGGATTCCTTCGTATCCCTTATAAGTTCCTTAACAAGCACAGACTGAGTATCATAACAGAGTATATTGCCCGGAGTAGGATTGGTTTTCATTTTAGCATAAAGTTTCTTTTTTTTATTTATTTCATGTTTTAGTCTATCAGAAAACCAAGGTTTATCATTCCTTTTAATAATTCTTACTTTTTGCGGAATATGCTTTTTAAAGATAAGGAGTAATCTTTCAGTAAAATTTCTAGTCATTTCGTGTATATTATTTTGAGATTGAAAAAAGGTATCCCAATCAAAGCTTATAATATCATTGTTTAGACCATGAATATTAGCTTGATCATATTTCCAGATTATTTTCTTATATGGCTTATATTTAAGCAGAAAAACATCAAATGAGGACACGAGAGTGCTATGATCGGTCGATCCAATGGGAGCCTCAACTGACACATTTGTAACCAACCCTGGGATATCAGTAACTGTCAAGTCAATGCACGAGGATGAATCACCTTGTATTCTGGTTGGTTCTCTTACTAGCTGGTCCAGACCATGGGTTGAGAACAGATCATGTAGCAATTCACCTGCAACATCATCCCTTCCACCCAGGTACCAGTTCCGTGAGTGGGCGTTAAAGTCCCCGTTGATGATTATTCCGTCAGATCTGGATAATTTAGCTCTATAGAGACAATCAGATAATTGACTTATAAATTGGTTTCTTTCATTTGCAGTTTGGCTTGGAGATCTGTAAAAAATACCATACAGAAGCTTTTTATATTTAAGCTGTAATTCAATCCAAAGGCAATCCAACTCCGTGTTACACAAGTCCTCTCTTATTTTATATATCATGTCATTTCCCACATAAATTATAAAGCCACGTCCCTTTTCCGAGTATAAAGGATTATGATAGCCATCGATGTAATATTTACTAGTCAGATAATGCTCAGGAATTTTCCCCGCTTCACACAGACCGATTATATTAATTTCCAATTGTTTAGCGCGAATGGATAGAGCGTCAAACCTTAGCCCGTTTTCGGCCCCAAGGCTACGTATATTCGAAAAGAGTATTTTTAAGTCATTTTCAGGTTTAAGCCTAGGCCCTGGGTTGGGATGTACGTCACCGGCGAGAAGAAGTTTGAATCCTGACAGACTTATATATTGAAATGTCGACGTCGTTTGGAAGAGAGTTAAATAAAATGCAAGTAGTTCAGCCGCAATAAGTATATAGGTTTTCACATAATATGATTTAGCGAATAATTGCGATATGCAACAAAGTAACAGTAGTGAGGACAGATTGCCGCCAGCGACACACGCAAAGGAGAATGGAATAACCGGCCGATCTTTATGATCTTGGGTTACACTTATAGGATATACCAAGTAAAGGCACAAAGTTACAATGATAAAGAGGAAGATGAGAGCGGTTAACGGTTTCATATAAATTAAATAAGGGAACTTAAGGTGTGTTTCCCTTTTCTTAGCCATACCTTTGAGACAGCAGAAACAACCAACCGTCACCCTCCACTGCATCAAGCTAATCCCCATTTAGATGGTACACCTCCCACGATACATCCCCCCTGATCCCCATGCCAAGTCCCTCCTCCGGCTCCCCTTCACAACATATAAAACAGTTAAAGAACATGGTTATATAAATGGGAAAGAACAAAACAGAATAGATAATACTCTTGACAGGTCGTATAGTGTAGATTGAGATGGCACGGTGAAAAGAAAAGGCAAGGTTTGGGATGGCTTCGGAATTAAATACGGCTGTAAGTTTTCTACCAATCTCCATTAGTAAGGTCATTGATGTGCAAGGCTTGCATGTGCTTACTTATGTCATTTATCTATTCTGCTTTTGAAGTCTTCAGCAGTGAAGGTGCATCTGCCACAATTACTGTTTTTTATACAATGTACATTAGTCTGCAATGTGTTAGTCACAACTGTAGCAACTTATATTTAAGCCTAACAATGTGTCCCTTCTTTTATCAAATGTTACAGCCAACATAAATCAGCAAAGCTAATTTTTTATTTTCAACTAACATAAATATTCATTAACGTAATAGTCATTTTGGAAAATGAGGTTTCTATTTGTTTTTTCTTCATTTATAATATATATTTAGGGCTTCTCAATGGTAACAATATATGGATCTGCTTCTTTTATACATTTTTCATCGAAATTGGATCCAACAGTCCACAATGTCTCCAAATCATAATATTCTCTGGCTTCATCACTCATAATATGCAAGACAATGTTTCCTAAAAACAACAATAAATAAATAAATAAATAAATAAATAAATAAATAAATAAATAAAAATAATAGTAATAATAAAAGTCTTCCACCAAGTGTCAGACAAAGTCTTTGCGCTATTTACTACATCAGCTATGACATGCTAATGAAGATATAATAAGACAATTACAAGTGAACTTCTACCGAAAATTTATTTATTTATTCAGAAGCCAGTATCAACAGATAAAGATCAGCAAGAAAAGTGGAATCTTACCCATATCCAATGCAACCCAGGACTTGGAGTTTTTTCCAGCCATCATAACATGTTGATCTTTCGGGCTCCTTTTTCTTTTATACTGAAAAGTTAACATAAATTCTTATAGTTGATTTTTTTTTCTAAAATCTGTTTTGTATGCATGTGCTTATGAAGGCACTTTGATAACTCAGAATTATCACAATCTTGCATATCGTGTCTGAGCAATATAAGATACTTTAAGCTGTAAGTTTTTATTTCAGTCAGATGTCATCTGCCAAAAATTATCAACCCTAACCACTCAGAAGGTAACATTTTAAAATTCTACATGCATATCAGACTCTAAGATCAAAATTAATGTACAGTACTTTATTTTGCAATACACTGTATGCATAACAACCAGTTTCACCCACAGTTCTACACTGTATACTTACAACCCACTTTACCCAGTGTTCTACACTGTATACTTATATCCTGTATAACCCATGAAGTCATACACTGTATATTTATGACCTAATTAACCCACAGAACTCTACACTGTATACTTACAACACGTTTAAGCTACTGAGTTCTAAACTGTATACTAATAATCCATTTAACCCAAAGAGTTCTACACCGCATACTTACGACCCATATCACCCACTCAGCCATTGCCCTGATATGTCTTGCAGAAGAACCACTCACAATAACCATGTAGTCCACATAGTGGCATTCAGCTGGAACCTTTATCACACAGATATCATGAGCATTTTCGGAACGGAGAACTACAACAAGATCTTCTATATCATATACTCCAGTTTCACCCCCTGCAATGCAAAACATAAAAAATAGAAGAAACATGTCTTTATTTTTGCATTTAAAAATATTGTGTAAAGGTAATTCTCTTTCCAATATACCACAAAACTAGTGGCCTTCTGCTAAGGTTGATATTTCTTAACTTTTAGTATTAAATATTCTTGATTTTCCATAAAATTCAATAATAAATTATTTTGTTACATCTTCATTATTATGTTATATCTTAATAAATATCTTATAAAAAAAATAGAGCTTTCAACAGAGAGCAAAATATTTGCAAACAGCTCAGTAAAAATATATGTACTTTTTAATGGCACTGGGGAATGTTTCTCATAAACTCTCTCATATTCTACTTCAGCGTCTTCATATAGCTCATCTTCGTCTTCACTTGAATTGTCTGTGGTGTCATTGCAATTCTCCTCTTCTACATCGTTATCAAGACCATTTATGCTACTTGCTTTGTCATGGGCATCAATATTAGTCTCTGTACAGCCACCATCCTTTACTTGACTATTAAATTGTTCTTCACTTATGTTACTATGATCAAAATCTCCCATAATTTCCTTCATCAGGTCCTTTACCTCAGGGTCATTCTTTGGGTCATAAGTTCCATTTGAATGTTCTGAGCGTCTTGTGAAGTGTCTCTGTGCCATACTGTTTATAAGTGGCAAATTGCGGCTGCAAGTTTTGAGGTTTGAGTCAAACGTCCTGTGCATTAACTGACTATGAAAGCGAATGCATTCTGGGATATAACTATTACTAACGTATAAAATTACCCTCCTATAAAGTCTTGCGGTCTGCATTGTACCTTCTCTGTTCTGTAAAAGAATATTAACAACAGTGAATATTCAACAAAAACATAAAAATTACTGGACTACCGTACAATTTACAATTTCAACATGGTTCAAAAGTACCTTTTACTGATTGTCGTAAGACCAAGGTGACCAAGGTCAAAAGTAGTCATATAAAAAGAGACAAACATTTATCATCTAAATTAAAATAATAACTTTGTATTAGCTTTTCAGTTTTGATTATCTCTGTAACATTCTGCTCTTTGTAATAAAATATTGTTTTATAGAATGAATGAAAGTGGGTACTTTAGCGTTGCTGAACAGGAAAAAGCTAGCAGACGGTCTGTACGTCTGTGGATTTTCACCACTCCTTCAATTGAAACGTAAGTGAATCTTATTTCATTGATGTATTTAAATAGTGGTAGATGTACATAGATATTGTACTGGTAAAGGAAAGCAATTAATTACCTGTATTCTGTATTGGCTTTTACAAATTTGGACTTTGAACTAAGTACTGTATAACGATCCGTGACACCTCGTCTTTCATAGATTTTAAAACATAAATAACAGAAATTGTCTGTAGAAAAGTGTTTTTGTGATTAGGGCAATACCAGGAGCCAAGACTCGGCGGTAAGACTACCCGTACGAACTGCAATAGTTGGACAGGATGACGGCCATGGGCACAGGCATCGCGTGGATCCCAATTATTTTTGCTTTAGCAACTTCCTTCTTATATTATCTTTCAACACATTTACCAGAGCTACCAGCAGACTCCAAGGGGTAAGTCAGTCACAGCGTGAGAATGTGGTCAATTCGATAATTAAATTGATAAATTATGAAGGTACCTATTTCTTTGCCTCAGTTTTTGGTTTTACCTGCTACTGATACTGTAGTACGCAGGTAAGGCCTCACAAGACCCTGTTTAAGAAACTTTCGAGGCTACATGTGATGTCCCTTATGAATAGCAAGTATGTGGTAGCACTGCTGCATATCAAAGCCGTCAAAAGGAGTGCTAACATATGAATTTTGTGCTACCACTACACAGAGCATTGTGAGGCTTCAGTGGCTTTACCTTTGGCAAGTACCTAGCATGTATAAGACTATAAACTGGGGTAAATCTTTTCGTGCTCTGACAGGCTCTTCTTTAAAAATACTGATGCTCAGATGAAGGGTCCTACTTTGAAAAAATTCCCATATTATTATTATTATTATTATTATTATTGGAACTTGTTGCTTTTGTTCCCTGAATTTGAGATTTAAACTGAAGATGCAGATTTTAATGGTACATGTATTTATATAATTTGCTTATTTGTTACGTAGAAGTATTATAGCATTTGTGCTTTGAATTTTCAGGGATGAAATCAAATTTCCCAGCAACATTGAAGAACTAACTAGTTTGGCTGCAACCCTTCAGGCTTACAAAGTAAAACACATAGGCCTGGTTTTATTATTATTTTGCAGTGCATATTTATACAAACAGACATTTGCCATTCCAGGATCAGTTTTCATGGTGGGTATTTTGGGTTATGTATTTAAATTTGATTTGTATTATGTATTCAGCTTTGTTTGCATTTGACGATGTTGTAATTAGTAATAAATTTTATATTTTGATATACCGGTACTGTATACCCTGTGAGCTAGCATTTGATAAGATCCAAATCTGACATTTTCAAGCTATTGCATTTTCGTGTTGATCTTAATTGATGAGAGCTTTAATTTAGTTTATTTATGACAATATGTTCAAAGATTTTTTTCATTCATTGTTTATTTCAGAATCTCTTAGCAGGTGCTTTATTTGGAATCTGGCCTGGGTTTCCTCTTACATGTATATTGACTGCCTGCGGAGCAACATTCTGCTTTCTTTTATCCAAAACATTTGGAAAGGCCTATGTTATACACTACTTCCCAGACAAAGTAGCTAAACTACAGCACATGGTATATATTGAATTACTTTTTCATAACATATACAAGCAAATAAATCATAATCCATAGATATTATCTTTGCCAGTTAAACATTTTGCGAAAGTGATTAATTTTTTCCAAAGTGCATATAACTCAGCCTTACATAAATGTGAACTGTTTTCTTTTGTTTTATTCACAGTTGTAATTGAAAATATAATTTCTTTTTTGTTTCATTTGTAGGTAGAAGAAAATATGGAAAGTCTATTTTTCTTCCTGCTGTTTCTAAGATTATTTCCAATGTCTCCCAATTGGTTCCTGAATATAACATCTCCCATTCTGAATATTCCAATCCATCTATTTTTCCTGTCAGTTTTAATAGGTAAGCATAGAATTGCAGAAAAGTAGTAGCATTTTGGGCCCTTTTCAAAGGTTTAGTCATGAAAACTATAAGCATATTCATATTCCAAGAGACTTGTGCAAGGGTGTGGAGTTTCCATTTAAGTTTAATGGGTGTGAACCTAAGCTGTTAAGTAATTGTACAATCCACAGATATTCACACTGTTAATTTTGCATAAGTGAAAAGTGTCTAAATGGCATTCGCGATAATCTACCCTTCCACTGCCATGCATAATCTGATTTCCTGATTTTTCCATCCAGCTTTTTGGGCTTAATGCCAGGAACTTATGTGTGTTGAAGTTATCATTATTCAAAAGAAGATTGTAGGACATGCACAATTAAGATCAAAAGTATGCTAGAGACATTACAGAGTTATAGTTTTTTTCCATCTTTTTTTTTCTTCTTCTTAATTATTCCTATTATTTCCAGGTCTGATGCCTTACAATTTCCTTTGTGTTCAGACTGGCTGCATACTTTCACAGATCAATAATGTAGGAGACATGCTCACATATGGAACCCTTTTAAAACTGGCTGCTATGGCATTAGTGGCACTTTTACCAGGAGTGTTATTAAAAAAGTACCACACTCCCAAGATACCAAATAACACTGTAAAGAGGTAGCCACATATAATTTAATGGATCTCTTGGTTCATAATTTTTTGGGTGTACATTTATTAGAGGTGTTTCCTATTTTTGAAGTCATTCACCTTATTCCCTATACCTTATAAACTGTGATATGTACGCTAGATTTGTTTTAAAAAGTAAAACAGTTTAAGCAGTGCTAGAGTAATTAGTTACAGAACTTAAATTTATTGTGTTTAAGTAGACATGCCTGGAA